GGTAGGCCTTGCATTGGGATATTTGAACATCTCCGATTGTAAATGTTTTTCATATGGGAAAAAAATCGGAGTACTTGGACAAAACATATGCACTTATGGTGATAACGCTCTCAGATTATCAAAGGTCCACACATTCTAGCTGCCACAGACACCATGTGGTTTGAGAGTTTCACTGATCAATGTGAACCACCAATATTTGCCTTAAAATCATATATTAGAGGCGTGTGCCACTAGACAACAATAACGAAAAAGTCGAATGTAAAAATATATGATTGTACAACACACTTACGTACAGTAGACTACAAGTACACATTTTATAAAAGGCAAAATTACAGCGTCATGAAAATGTAATAAGTATTGGATGTTTGATGGTCTAGAGGTCAAAGGTGTTTATGGTCAAGTTCATGATAGACCGGATTCGTTCATACTGAACGGATCATTACGACATCACCAGCCAATAATCTGAAAGGTCATAGATAGAACATATTTAATTCTCCAACTTTGTGTGAGGACTTTAAAATATAGCATACAAGAGGACACTGCATGGCGCACATGGTCTTTAGCCAGTTTAACGGAAAGGAAAATGTACATGGTTATGTACACTCCTAAATTGCTGATCGTTTACTCTTCCTGCTTGTAAGAAAGTATAAGGAACCCTCTTGTCTATTTATAATTGTCGAAAGTATTGTTACATTGGGTGCAATTAATGGTGGCTATTGTGCAAACAAATGCTAATCCACACCCAAACACAGATGTTCTTTCCATGAGCCTGTCCAAATGGGTTTGTATTGATGGTGGTTAGTTTTACTGTTTAAAGGTAAAAATATTACGCAAAAAACATTCCAGAATTGTATTTATTTAATTTAATATAAACATCCACACTGTTTTTTTCTTTCTAAAAGAACAAAACATATCACGGAAAAGTATGTTCCTTATTTTCTACATTTAATTGTGCACAAACAGTCGTGTTAAACGACTGTGCACTGATAGTCGTGACTCAGTTATTACTTAAATTATTTTTTGTTGTCGCGATGAGCATATGTGTTAACAAAGAGATCCTGTTATTTAAGGATTTACTTATTTATTTGCAGTTTGCTTTATTTGCTACCAAATACAATTAACAATAGCATGTGTATATGCAAAGCGGTACGGACAACTTAAGAAGAGCATGGACAACAACAAAATAACGGTGGCTGAAATGGGGACATCAGGCTTGCACGTGAGCAGCCGTGTCTTTCTACTAACCCTGCCACTCACGTTCAGCAGTGTGCATCTGGGATGTGAAAATGCATCCTTCCCCCTTTCCCCCTCCATGAATTGATGAATTGTCACTATTCAGGGTCACGATTCAGTTCATAAATCGATTCTGTTTTTTCACTTGCGGTACATGTAAAATTTATGGTATATATTATGAATCTGTTGAATTTCGTTTTAAAAACGTGCAGTAGAAATCATAAATAATCGGGTGATTCGACGTGTGTCTTGTAAGCATAAGAATCAATTCTAATCATGAAACGTACATTTCCAGCGCACATTAAATCCAGACATTAATATTTAATTATAAAAAAAATACACGTAAGTTGTGAAGTTCACGTACAGCCCTTGAGTCAATCCACTGCTGGATAAGGGTCTTCCCATACCATGTGGGTCATTAAGATTGACCGTGGTAATTGGTGAATACTGGGAGCAGATGAAGAGCAATGCAGTACAGAAGAATGGACTTTACTCCATAGCCTTTCACACCCGAATGCATTGTGGTCACCCATCCAAGCACTCCAATCTGCTAAGCTTCCCGGGATCTGATGAGATCAAGGATATAGGCATGTGTGAAGTAAAAGTATTACAATACCATTCAACTATAAAAGTTTAAATGAGCACCCATTTAAAGTTGATGCAAAGTTTGTAATGTTCTAACTCGACTCATGAAACCTCTTAAGGTTCCCACTATTTATAGTACATTACAGAATTGCTTAGTTATTCGAATGTGCACAGAAGAAAAGTTAAATGCCAGCTGATGACAGCACACAGCAAGTGCTCCGAACTCCCCCCACTGACCGCTGTGACAGTTGACCGCATGCTGTGCACTGTTCCATTAACACTCCGCCTCCTGCGGCCCCCGCCCCGCCCCCCAACATCCCAATACCTTCCTCAACTGCATCATCAAAAGAATCCCTGCCGGACATGCTCAAATTTGCATTTGGAGCCGGCTATGCTTCCCCCGCACCCGTGCGCTCCGTGGAGCGGTAATTAGCTGCTTTTTTTTGTTCCTTCATTAGCACAGGTGGCAAATGAGGGGAAAGTCACTTCGAGGCACATTTAATGTGAAGAATGCAAGCGCGGCGCTTAACCAGTACGTGTTGTGCACTGGTAATGGCTGCGACTTAATGCAGCTCTGTGCTGGCATGGCAATACATTTATTTTTTTTGGTCACTGTAAATTGTAAGCAAGTATACATGATGCACATGCCTACAGCGCGTGAGAATAAATGCGGTCCAATGCACTTTGTATTGCATTGTTCTAAAAAAACATATATTTTATTATTTAGAGTTGTTTTTAATGAATAATAATTAGCATTAAGTGGAAACCCAAAAATAAGCTTTCTTTTAATCTTGCACAATCCAATATAATGGTATGATTATTTGAAACATTTCTCAGCTGTTTATATATTCCGAGCCACTGTTTGAACAACCATGACCTTATCACTGGGGCTGCAGTGATCTTATCAGAAAAACAGCCATTGCAAGGCTGCCATTCATCCAGCCGCAATTCTCACTTGCCGCCTTTGCTTAACGAAGCTCTAATTACGTGCCTTTGTCGGGTGCTGACAGGCCGTGGCCCAACGATAAAGGGCAGCCTTTGTAGAATAACCCCGCAGGGAGAAGAGGGGGCACGATGGAATATGTCGGTCATGATTTTGGTAACCCTGCGGTCTCGCCTCACCCACTTATGCCTTCCCGGCACCGAAAGGGGTCTCTCATTACCTCGTCTAATTCTGCATCCCTCACCTCGGTCCCCACTATGAATGCGGGGCGATAAGCAAAAACGCAATGTGTCCCGTGAATGAGGGTAATGGCAAATGGAGCAGAGAAAAAAGAAATAATCATTATAGCAGTAATTGAAAACATTACAATAATGGAATTGAAATGCCTTTCGAATCCAGCTTTATCCTAAAGGGAGCATTGTATTTTTTTCCTCTTTAAGAACACAATTACAAAAGAAAATGTTCTGCTTTAAATGGTTTTAATAATTATACAATAGGGATGTTAATATTGAATAATTTCTAACAGTGCTGGATGTCAAAATACAAAACATAATATTACATTTTTTTAATTTAATATAGTTTAAATAGTAGGCCACATTTAAAAATAAACCGTTATCCATAGCATATGTAAATTGTTATGAAAAAATCACGCGCGCACTGATTTATTAAAAAAACTCCCACGAATGTAGGAAGACAACTGCACTGAATAAATTTAACAAGTAAAAGAACTACCTCAATTGTATGTCACAGTAACCTTTACAAAACTAGTGATTTGTTCTAAGTGGCAATTTGCATATTTATTGCAATCAGCAGAGAAACACAAAAGGTTATTTGTAAATTAAACCATTTCCAGCATCGGGTCACCTATCACCAACAGACAAGAACAAAACAGAACATCCCTCATCCTAACCTGCATTATTGACAATCTGCCTTCAAACATTTTCCAATTCGGATACTTTTAGAACTAAGGACCACAAACAGATTACAATGCCACATGACGGAACACATGACAATAGGCTAAAGCGCAAGTGGCTTAATGCAAGCTTATTGTTTCTGGTTACTCAAAATGCAAATTTTATTCAGGTTCTGCTAAGGCATCTTTTTGGTTTAAACAAATGTTAAGTCGTGTCGAGTGGGCTTTGATTAACCAGCTCACCTCTGTGATGGTAGACAAGGCAGCATGAGTGCTCCTCTGTTATGCGCATACACAATGAACGCGCTTTTCATTTATTTATTGGCCCATTGTTGCACTGCCCTTTGATTCTGCGGTATACCCATGCTTATTCTTAAAACATCGGTTGCATGGAATAAGGCATTGACATTTCATCAGAAATTAATGATAATCAGCAATTCATCAGGGCTACGCACAGAGAATTCTGCAAGAAGTCATGCAATGGACAAGCACTGGGACTTGCCCTATTGATTTAAGCTCTGTACAACATGGCATTTTATCTGAATTTCATTGCATTTTCCAATGAGAAGTCTTTGCGAGTGACTGAATTGTTATTATACTTTTTCACCAGTATCAATCACAGCCAGGCAATTTTTCCCCCCCGGTACAAATTACTTCATTATGCGTGTATTTTACTGCAAAGCAAGTTCATTATCGGATACTTAATAAGCAAAATGTAGTGTGACATTTCCTGCATACCTTGCATTGAATAAGCTACTTGAAAAATGCTGCTGAAATTTTGTACTGGATGTTTCGATAATAAAATACCTTACCGACACATTTGCAGTTAAGAGTTTAAGGCCAGTATCAATCACTAATGGATTGTGGTATATTCCTTGTTTTTATCAATCAAAAATAAACAAATATGAATGCACAATATTGTCTATGTGTGTAAAGTTTTGCTGGCTGCCTTCCTGAATGGCTGGCTGGCGTGCGGGCGGGAAGTGCACATGCGCAGTGGCGACATTGCCATGCACATTTATCTGGTGACATCACCCACATCCAGTTGAGTTGAGCTGGGTTTGTGCGTGCTGACATTACCCTCCACCCCAGCCATGTATCAAGTGTAAATGCAGTGCTAGTGTACAATAACATGGGTTTGGTCTTCTTTTGTGCTATCAATGTAATTACATTATTGTATCCTTATCCTACACGCAACATTCACACACTTTTATACATGTACAATATGAAAAGTATTTTAAGCTACGAAACTCGAATATATACTATATCAAGCATCTGCCTATTTTAATTCAATATTATTTTGTGAATGTTGTGCAATCTATGTACCTTCGGATGTGACATTGGTGTTGTTCAGTATTAATACGAGAAGGAGCTTGCATGAAGTCAGCTGCCTCAGGCACTCATCCGTGATTCTGCACCGAGAGAAGTTCAACTTTTTCACCTGAGGGTTCACAAACTGCCACAACAGACCCCACCGATAGATATGGTCAAGGCACAGGTTTCATTCACACCCTTTACATGCTGTCTGCATGGAACATGCTTAACGGCACAATCTACTGCTTGCAATCACACTGTTTGTAAAATAAAATAGGCAAACATATGTTCAGTGGTTTGCATTCTGTAGGCAAAATACCACGAAGTTGCATCAGAAAGAAGTCATTAGACTTTCATATATGCATGTTGAACTTATTTCGCACCATACGTAACCAACCGTCCCAATCAGAGGTGTGGGGGAAGGACAACAAACTAAAAACAAAAATCACTTTTAAAGAAATTAGTTTTCAATCTATATTTAAAAGTGTATATTCTCTAGTGGCTCCCTAATATCGGAAGGCACAGCATTCCAGACCGCCAGAAAAGTGCATCCAAAAGTGCACAATGCAGTGACCGTATTCATTCGATTCCTAGCCAATAGTCACTGCGATGATGACCAGAGTTTGTGTGATGGTTTATGTTCCTTGACGAGATCAGCAAGTTATTGTTGTTCATTTATACTTGAGATGTTGCTGAAATGTGTGTACATGAACGACCTGTCTATTTATCAGTCCACTGTTGAATGAGTGCCACCCTACTATGTCTTGCAGACCATGAAGGGTACATGGCTACATTACACCACAATGCCCAGTAGAAATCTATTTTTGTACACGATCCTTGCCCATCCAAGCACTATCCAGGCTCAAACCTGCTTAGCTTCGAGGTCTGATGGGATCAGGCACATTCCAGGTGATTTGGTCAAAGCATAATTATTAGCATCGTTTTCCAAATTTAGGCGCACTGTAGTATTATAACTTTCAAGCTGCATCTAAAACAGGGGTGGGGAACCTTTTTCTGCCAAGAGCCATTTGGATATTTATAACATCATTACATACAAAAGTATCAACTTAAAAATTTGCCTGTTATATTTGGTCAAACATTTAATTAACTCACCCCTAATGCGATGACTGGAGCTGCTTCTCTTTGGTGAGGCATGTGATGTTATCTGGTATTGATGATGTTGCTACTCGCAACTGCTTTTCCAGGTTTTCTCCTAGATTTATTGAATTTCGAGTCCCGCCTGTGGTTGCCTTGGCAGGGCCAGACCAAATTATTTCGTGGGCCTTATATGGCCCGCGGGCCGGACATTCCCCACCCCTGATCTAGAATCATATGAAGTAGCAATAGACTTAGTATAAAACAACGTGTCTCTACATGCGGTCAACAATTTTAGCATATCAGTGAGTCGTTAAGAGTCTATGCATACTCATACTGTACCACTTAACATCACCATCACCAGTAATTGGTGTCTTCTTGGATACTGCATAATTAATATAATCTGCATTTTTGCACTTCGTCAGAGCCATTTCCCTCCAATGGTATATTGATGTAGTTCATCCTTAAATGATTTGATATGTACTGTCAGCAATGATGTTACATTATGCCTAACATGTCAGAAAGGACTTAATTCAATTAAATGTTAACATCCTCTAAGATACTTGAGTGTCTGTGTGCTCAAATGTTAAGTGTGTAATGGCAAAATGCCAGCATTGCCCGGCTGCCCACAATTTTGTTTTTTTGTTGTTCATGCTTGCTAATATTCACAAACATTATTTTGCCAGTGCGAAGTATTCAAATCTCTGCATCTTTGGTAAGAGCCGCAACAATGTTTGGTGAATGGGCATGAAAATCCCCAGTATAGCATTACCTCGCAGATATGCAGCAGTCAAAGGGATATTTTTCGCACAAATGATGCTCTGCTATATAATACGGTTATGGCTGCTCTATTTGTTGCACATGCAGATCTAAATTCAAACGTGCGCAGCTCAGATTTACGTTTCTGCTTGTCACATTGAATAACAACCACAGGCGTGTAAACAGTCATGGTCTTTGTAATTTATTGGAAAAACCCCTCCATGACTTATATGTGAAATTACACAAACCTACTTGTGCAATACAGCATTTTTTTCCCTTAAGCAATTGGTGTCAATCAACAAATAACAGCTGAACCAATTCTCCCATTCTCAACTAAAAATTCTCAACTTAGCATAGTGGAGCAGTAAAGGGCTGTAACCCAACTGGCTAACCATTCTGCCTGCTGTTCACTTGAGAAAAGACCTCAGCATAAAATAAGATATTCTCTCCATTTCCCTTTATTTGAGGTGTAAAATTGTGTCAACTGCGCAAGTTTATAAATGACATACAACTGCACTGTGGGCTAATGTGAATGGGTATGTGGGAAAAAAAAAACGAAATCAAATCAGCAAAAGACAAATTCACTTTAACCCTATTTGATGATGCATTGGAAATGTTAACACGTTGTATATTCTCAAAGTCGCAATACCGCTCTTACTAAAATGTAACAAAAAATGTGGTTGATGATCAGAAAACACACCTTGCCGATGTTCTGGTCAGTGATCTCTCCTTGCTTGACCAGCAGGTAGAGGAGTTTGGTTTTGAGGTTGTGTGGCAACTGCTCCACGTCCCCGGAGTAGCGTGGGAATGCACGCGCCACAATCTGCAAACTCCTGCGAAACAACGTCGAGGTCAGTTTGTATGAATGTCTTCACGGCTTGCTGCATCTCGCCATATTTTTTTTGTTTAGTTTGTTGTCCTTCCACCGCACCTCCGATTAGCACGGTTGACTGCATACGGTGTGAAAGAAGTTCAACACATATGCCGAATATTGTACGTTATGGAACGCCTTTCACTGGTACCTCCCATAATACACTGTTTAAAGTAAACCATGTAGATTTATGCAGTTTATTCTAGTCACACTATTTTAGCAATGTCGCCTGGAGCTATAACAATGAGTTATGGATACCCGGGGCAACAACGAAAATTGCATTCAAATAAAGAGCAATTCTAGTTTTCCTAACATTATTTATGGACAGCACATAAAAACTAAATAAAAGATGTACGCTTCATGTTATATATTTTGTATGCACTAGCGTGAAAAAAATTGAAAGTGATAATGTATAAAAGATATTGTAAACTGAATTTTAATACTTATTTAATATTTGACAGTTGTAATAAAAACATGTATTCACAAGACCACTTCGCTAATATTAATATGGAATTTTCAAAGCTTTTTTTAAAAGAATGTTCGATTGTATGTGTAATTACACTCAATCACAAATTTATATTGAGCATTAAACAAAAAATGTCAGCACATATTAGTGCATGCCTGTAAAATCTAAAATAGTACATCTATAAAAATGTAATGAGGGTGAATGGCAACTAGGATTTTTGAAGCTCAAGCCATGGTTTGATGTTTAACCACATCCGAATTTGCATGAGCTTCACGGAGTACAAAATTACGAAGCATCACTTGCATTATGCTTCCAGCTACATTCCTCCAGAGGCCAATTAGTCCCAGAACATTAATTAATCAACAGTGCCATTAGATGGAGTGCAAGACATTGTAGTTAACACTTTATCACTTCATGTATATCAAACTGCCGAAAGGAAATAATTGGCATATTTACGATGATACTAAGGGAAATCAAAAAAGTTTTGATGACAAAATAAAAAGTCACATCAGCAAAGGTGCACTTATTTTAAAGGTAATTATTCTATGTACAAATGGCATAAGTCCAATGTGTTCAGGTGTATACAGGCATACATCTTATAGCGATTCCTCTTATAGCTATGTTTCGTTATAACGCCCTTTGTCCTCGAGGAAAGTTCCTTCGAGGATCAGCCCATATATGGAAGTAGGCATGGCGTTGCCCCGAAGGGCGTGTCTTGGCCCATATATAGACTTATGGAACCTGAATCGGTGATTATCGATTAATTGAGGGTTAATCGCTGCATCAATCATTGGTGATCCATGGATCGAGTAATCCCATTGGTTAGGACTTTATAGCTTCCCAGGGAATGTGTTTACGGAAGACGGTGGTTTATCCGATGCAAACTCTAACCGAATGCACTGGTGAGTACATATCCTATTGTATTTTTTTCATGTAATCATTGAACGTTATTTAATTTATGAAATGCTTTAATACATTTATCATGTCTACAGTATCATTATTAAGGCTATTACTGATACCCCAATGAAGCTCATAGGTAAAAAAAATAGCGGTCGGTAATGCATCTCCATTGTAACCATGTTATAATGTTGTCCAATAGCGCTGTTTCTTATAGCCCTCCATTTACCAAGAATGCACCCCGAGAGCTATACGAGTTATGCCTGTATATTTTTCCTATAACCACTACAATTAATGTTTCCATATTCACAAAAACACAATTTACTTCATGTGCAAGGTGCTGAATGAATATGTTATTGTGTATGTATAAGCATTGCTGTACACAAATACATGCATGCATTAACTTTACAGCTCTGGATTACCAGGTCTTTCTTACCAAATCATACATATTGGAACATATATATACAAGTCAAGCTGAACTCATCTCCTTTGTGGTGCTGAGATAGTGTTATACATTCCACATTTGCCCTTGATTGTATACCTTTGAATGTTGAAGCGCTTACATTGCGTTGCTTTATTTGTAAATGATTGTTATTTGTTGTTGTTATGTATGATAACGATCTGATATCTCGTATAAGGTACTTAGTGGGTCTCTCTTACAAAGCAGCCTATAACTGAATATTATTTACCTGCGTCACGAAATAATACTGAACTGAACCGAATATTTATATGAATCTATCGATAGAACAATCGCTTTTTTGAGAATAGGTTTTTTCCCCTTTTTTCAGGCAACAAAAAAAAACACCTTTTACAAGGAATAATGTCTGCATTAACCACAATACTTGTGGTCAGAATGCAGACAAAAAACATACTCTGATAATATGTATTTTGGTACTGGCAAAGGAGGTCCCATGATGTACGGGTAATCGCTATTTTATTTTCACTTAGTGTAACTGATTTATCAACTTTTGACAGATGATGGACTGGGTCAACTCCTTCATGAGATTTAAACTCACGATCTTGCCCATGTGAATTGGGTGCCCTTACCATTGCCACCATGTTAAATATCCTATCTGAGAAACACTGGTATAAAACACATGTATATTAAAATACATACAAATGATCGTGGACAAGCAATTCCCGAATGCAAATTATAGCACCGGATTTAAATTATGTTCTGGAAGAGTTAGAAAGCTAATATGCCACCAACAGTCAAGTCTATGCTTAAAACAAGGCATAATCTGTAATATATCTCTTCTTTTATTTGGGTCCCAAAATTATGGCAGAGAGGTGTACTAGTTTTACACGTGACAAAGGGTCTGCCTAACGTTCTTAATTGCTTTAAGTCTCACGTTTAACACTTACAAATATACAATTCCCATCATCAGTGAACCAAGTAATTAGTGTCCCGTGAAGAATTATGTCAAAGCCAATAGAAGGCGCCACTAACGCTTACTACACTGTACTATATATTACACAATATATTATAAATACAACCAGCCACATGACATTGAATTAGATTTAAATGTTAACTGTTTATTTTTGCCCGTAATTAGTATTTTTTTCTGTGTGGCAATGCTGAAGCATAATTTTCATTGTGACAGGCTGTGATCACTTCATGTGTTGAATTTACTGGGTACAAAGACCACCCTGACAATCTGGAGGTTGTCCAAGAGAATCATGTTGAGTTTTTTGTGCATGAGAAGCAAGTAAATTTCATTTCAATTTCTCTATTTGGGCTCCTCCATGTCAATTTTATTGACGACTCATTTTTGAAAAAGGCGTTCATTACAGTTATCTTAATTTTCATGCTGGCTGCAAACTACAGTATTCAGATGTTCTCCTATCTTCCATGTATCCCCATATGCCACCTTTACTCAGCTTCAGCTCAGATGTGCATCTTTTACTTACACTGAAATCACACATTATGATGATATAGTTTACTTTGTCATTATTTATAAGTATCTTAATTTCTTCATAGATTTAGTCATGGCTATGATAGATTTAGTCATGTTGGTGCTTATATTTAAATTAACTTTAACTTACAGTGATTCAAGATCCTTATTGTTAGCTGGGCAAATCTCTCTGTGAATATTATTTAATTCTAAAACTTTATGCTTGATTTCCGGAGACTAAAATCCCACTCCTCAGATTAAAAAAAACCCGTTTCACTATTAAAATGTATGGCATTCTCTGCTGTCCTCATCTCACTGAGTTCAAATATGTCCCAATTTACGTCTCTTAGTTCCGACTCCATTCATATATTTGATTTGCCAAAATATGCGTGTTTTATGTAACAACGGTCAAATCCAGCAGCCATCATTCAGGAGGAAAACCCATATTTCTGGAAACAAGTAATGTGAGCATGACAGCAGAAAAAAGGAAGTTGGTGATTGGTATTTAAAAAATAGCAGTCTTAAGAGATCATGATTGAACCATTATGTGCATGCCACACAATATTACAACTAATGCAGTATTTTTTGTTATTGAAAATTATAATAGTAAAAATATATCTCAGGATGTTTTCACAAGAGTTAGTTGCAGAGGTCATGCAAATAAGTAAATAGTGCCCTTTGTAGAAAGAAAACTGGGAAAGCTCCTTGATCGGATGGACTATGTGGCGCATCGAAAAAGTGGGAACAGATTTTGGGTATAAAAAATTGTTACTTCAGTATTTACTAATTTTCTACAAAAAAAAATAATTGTGAAAAAGAAATGACTTGGAGAATGACAGGGCCATTATTCCTCTTTCTGCATACAGACATATAAAGTGTTAAAGGGGATCATTGCAAACACAATCATGAAAAAATTAGATGGCAACCAACTGTTTGAGCAAGCTGGTTTTAAGAAAGGTTTCTCTCTCATTGAGCACACATACTATGAATAACATACTGGAAAATTGCATAAATATCAAATACCATTAGGCCTAGCCTTTGTAGACTATGAAAAGGCAACTTACTGGAAGTGATGCAGTCATCCAAGTTCTCACAAACACAGCCTAAAAAAAATATTTCGAAATAATTAAAATAATTTACATGAATGGTACAGCTACAATGAGATTGCATAAAATATCAAAATACACGTGGAGTCAGACATGCTTTCACCACAATTATTCACCACTTGCTCAGCACTCTGACAATATCCCACCCACATATCTTGCTTTTGGTCTTCCGTTTAAGATTGCCAACCTCTGGGTGTCACTCACTGTTGCCTGTCTCAGTCACCTGCCCTTCGAGATACCGCACGCGTGTCCCACCCATCACAGCCTCACCTTCCTGATCACACCCACAGTACTTTCCTGCCACTTTCTTTTACAAACTTCCAAGTTGCTTACCCTATCCTAAATTGTAAAACAAAATCGTAGCCTATTCCGCGCACAACTGCATTCAAATGCTATTTTTTTCCCATTACAATAATACGAACTGTTTTTTGTTATCGAACATAACACTGTATAACAGCCACATCACAAATGGGAAATTGTCCTAAATCCCTCCCCGTCCTTCTCAGCAGCATAAATGGGTGGGTGCTCCCACCTCTTCAAAGACGTCTGGCCAACGTGGAAGACTAGGCAAAACATACCCTCCAGAAGGATTATATGGAGCTCTCTCTAATAGATGCCTTTCCAGCAGTAATGGTATGATCAAACAATTGCAGGGCTGCACCTGTATCCATTTGAAACCCCTAAAGATGAATGTTGGAGGCAGTAAAGCAAGTCGGTGGTGTTAATCTCCGTGCAATGTTCTGGGTTTGTGTAGATGCTCACTGAGCTTATGACATTGTGGCATTGAAGAGATTCCATCAGTCTTGAAGGATGACCATTTTTTGTTGTTTTCAAAGACTGCTCCATGTTGCGTAGGCGTGCGTGCATCGACCCATCGTCTCGTGAGCGTGCGATTGCTTAGGAGCTGCGCCTTCACCGAGATCTTTCTCTACCTCCAACATTACAAACATCGTCGACAGTGGCAAGAATCTCGAACCCAAACAAGGGGGGTACACACACACCACACACACACATGGGGGCACACACACACACACCACACACATGGGGGCAGCCCGCGAAAATTACCCCCTTGGGGCGGGTAAAACCCCAACGGTCGTGTATTTATTATTTGCTTGACACTAACATCGTTCGACGATGCGGCGACAAAGCACAATGCAACAAGACGAGAGGCAAAGTGTATATTGAAAGCAAAAAAAAATCAGAATACGCAGTAAACAACTCACGCAGTCAGCAGCGTCTGTGGGGATCGCTCTTCATCGAGGATCATCGGCTATGCGCGCCCCGTCATGACAACAAGGGGGGGGGAGGGTGGAGAAGGCAACAACTCTGTTTACAAACAAAGAAAACACCGAGCTTGTGACGGGGGAAATGAACGAACTGGAAGTAGGCCCACCACAAGCCTGGGCGGCTTAAGCTGCGCCACCACTTCCCATTGAGCGTTGCAGAGCGTGCGTTTGTAAATCGTAGTCCGCATGGGTTAGGGGAGGGGCCCTCGTCCGCGAGCCACGTGACCACGCGCGCTGCGCCAATCCGCGCTACGGATTCCAAACAACGAGGCGCGAACGTCCGGGTGCAGTTGCCGTGGCAACCGAGAACGCCAGCGTTCATTAAAATCGCTGCGACTGTACAAGACTGTACTGTTAAATCTAAAACTATACAGCTTTTATTTTCTTGGTAAAGTAACGTAGAAGGAAAATAATAAAAATATATTTTTATTTTATTATAAAAAAATATTTATTTTATTTTATATATATTTTATTTTTTTATTAAGAATATGAATCCCTGCAGTCACGAAAGCATTAAATCAAAATGTATACATCTTTTATTTTACCAGGTTAAGGCCCCACTGAGCTATATAGCTCTTTTTTTTAAGAAGCGATCTTGGCCACACAAATGATAGCTCAACGAAGTGGCTTATCGCGTGGACACGTAATGCAGTTTCAGTTTTCAGTTTCATTTATTTGGTATCGCTCTGTGAGCCATTCGGCTCTTGAATCGGGTGCAACCGCAACAAACAAAAACATGAACAAGAAAACATCTTAAAGTCACTACGAGCAAACAGAAAAATCCAGGAAAAAACTGCAAAGTCTTCCAGAAAAAAAAAGCACCGTACACCAACGCTGTGCAAAAATCCCAGTGGGATGCAAGTCAAACAACAACAACCACAAGACAACTTCGATTAAAGCCATAATGCAGCGTGATTCTAAACGTGGAGGGGAAACCGGAGGACCCCCAGAAAAATCCACACGACCACGCAAACTCCAAATATAGAACAGGCGTCAGGGTCTGGATCAAACCCACGACCTCCTGTAGACCAGGCGAGGAAGTTAACAGCTCCACAACAATACGAATTGGCCATTCAGAATCGGAATATTTATTCATACTGGAGGAATCCGATGAGCCAATAGGGGCTGGTCAGAACGTTTTACAACAATACAAAACACGATAGGAGTGCAAAGTGTAGGAAAGATAAACAAATCACTTATATATACAAATAGAACAAGACTATATTTTTGTTATCTTACCAGGTAAAGCCCACTGAGCTATTACCTTATTTTTTAGAAGCGACCTGGCCACAGATGATAGCTCAACAAAATGGCTCATCATGTAGAAATTTTGAACAGCAACATTATCTAATGTAAATGCAAAAAACGAATGGGCAAAGCTCGCGACGTTTTTTTTTGCGTTGCCTTTTACGAACTATTTTTGGACCATTTCAATAAAAAATACATTAATCTGCATGGCACAACATTCACATCTGAACTGTCATGGAATGGCTGTCACTGCATAACTCATTTGGCTAAGGAGACATTAAAAATTACACTTGATTATATTTTCCATGCCACAACGCCTTTTTTCACTCCGAACAATTACACTATGCAACACAATTTTTGTTCCTGGGTAGTAAGCGTTATTTCGTAATTGCTTATGCCTAAAAATATAGAAAATGGCTATTATTCCCCACAAACTTTGCTTTTGTGACCAGGACAGCGATATTTTGAAATGTACCTATTTTCAATGAGAAAACGGGCGAAATTGTGTCTTTTCGTTCACATAAAGTTAGAAAAAAACAACATACGAATCAAAATTAAAATGTATTTATACTAAAGTAATACAAAAATGACTACGTAGAAGTGAGTAGTTTTTCGAGATTTACGATTATACTGTAAATCACTTTCACGAATCAGCCCCCAAATGTAGTTTCCCATCATGTTCTCGTTATACTTTTCTTGGTAGCCGCGTTCAAAGTCCAGTATATCCTTGTGGAAGTGCTCGCCTTGCTCCTCTGAGTACACTCCCATGTTCTTGAATTTATCAAGATGAGCATCAAGGATGTGGACTTTGAGGGACATCCTACAGCCCATTGTGCCGTAGTTCTTCACCAGAGTCTCGACCAGCTCCACATAGTTTTCGACCTTGTGATTGCCCAGGAAGCCACGAACCACTGCGACAAAGCTGTTCCAAGCCGCTTTCTCCTTACGAGTGAGCTTCTTGGGGAATTCATTGCACTCCAGGATCTTCTTTATCTGTGGTCCGACGAAGACACCGGCTTTGACTTTTGCCTCAGACAGCTTAGGGAAGAAGTCTTGAAGGTACTTGAAGGCTTCCGACTCCTTATCTACAGCTCTGACAAATTGTTTCATAAGGCACAATTTGATTTGCAGTGGTGGCATCAGCACCTTCCGGGGGTCCACCAGTGGCTCCCACTTGACGTTGTTCCTCCCCACTAGACAACTCGGTCTGCTGTGGCCAGTCCCGCCTGTGGTAGTGCACCTTGGTGTCCCTGCTGTCCCAAATGCAAAGATAGCAGAGAAACATAGATGATGTCACACGAATGTCACTTCACTTCACTTCTTTATGCTCACTAGCTGCATGACTTTTACAATGCCCAGAAAATATTGTTCATTATATACCAAAGCTGAATTTGTTTCAATGATCAGAGCTCGAATAACCGAAATGTAATTAATCTACTGCAATTATTCTATTTACTCAGCAAAGCCTTAACGAGTCACCATACTTTCATCATGGTCCTCAATTGAGATAATTATAAAACTGTAATACCGTTTATTTACCCAGTAAACCACCACTGGATTTCAATGCCTTTTTCATTGGAATGTTTGAGCCATTACATTAATGACTGGTTTGGATAAAACCACACTACCGAGTACAAAGCCCACACATATGAGGAGGTAATACTCAAAGCTCAACTCGGATAGATCCAAGAATCACTTGCTATACTTCTGTGTCCTGGCCACTGCAAATTTAAAAAATAGGGCTTTCTTTGTGTGCCCTCACTGGTGATTAGACTGATGCCATCAACGAACCTATTTTGATCAGGAGTGGCTGAGACTCTTGGATTCATTACAGTATTGCATTAAGAGGTTAGATATTTTTACCCTTTACACCTAATGCTTGTGCAGTGTAATGTATCAAATCACTTGTGTTGTTCCTCTGCTTTAAGAAGAATGAGTTGCAATGCCATTGCCTATTGTTTTTTATGGGAAATGAGATGAGGGATATGCTTAATTTATCCATTAACTCTGACCATGCTAATTAAGTAAAACTGTGATTTTCAACACGAGCAAGACTACGGCACGTTAATACATTTACCTTAAATTAAATGATATAAACAGTTTGAGGTGCATTGTTTTACTCATTTGTGAGGCCAATATGACCCAATTTAAGATTAATAACATGGTGAATTGTTATTTTGCATTAAACATTAGACAAATACCCAATTAGTTTATGTTGTTTTAGACCTAAAAATGTCAATAAGGAACGCTGCACTGCTATTTGTTTTCATGACAAGCTTATCTTCCATTCAATCATGCCATTTAACGACAGAATATCAATTCAAAAGGCAAATGAGAGAACGTTGTGTGCTTGTAAGATAAATGTAGCCTCCTCTTGCTACAACATAGAACAAGTATTTTTTGAAATGCAAATTACTCGAGTTGTTAGATCACAAGTAGTTAGATCATTGCAAACCCAGAAGACCTTTTACAAAATTACCATATGAAATCTAGTATTTTCATTGAGATTGATACTCAGCGAAACACAGTCAGTCGCCAAGGCTTGTTCTACAATTAAACTCTTATTTTAACATTACAACTTTAGTTTCTATTTATGTGGCCAATTGTAAACAATTTCATCAATGTTATTACTTAATACCCTTTGGTTCTTTCGGTAAAGTCATGTAGGTAGAAATAAAATAAATCACGACGTCTCGAACGAAACACAAGCGCCCGCCTTCAGGTGAAAATCGCGACAGCTGCGACGTCTTCTGCGTGCAGCTTCAAGTCAAGATTTATTACTTAAATAGCATTATTTATCGAGCCAAAGGATTCATACGTGTAGTAATGCACTTCAGAGACACTAAAATAGAAGGCACTCTGTTTATTATAGACTTCACAGGCACAGGGAATAACTATACACCATTGGAACCTCATTTGCCAGTAGAAAAATATGATAATTGGTTTTTTACCCTTTTATCTGGCAACAAAACTGACACCTTTTTTATGAGGAGTCATGTTTGCATTGACCACAATACCTGCAGTCATAATGCAAACAAAAAACATAACTCTGTTATGTCCAACACCATGTGAGACTTGGCTCTAAGGAAAGCTGTCTCGGGTGTGGACCAATCAATCAAGGACAGTGCATACATTATCAGAGTTATGTTTTTTGTTTGCATTATGACTGCAGGTATTGTGGTCTATGCAAACATGACTCCTCGTAAAAAAGGTGTCAGTTTTGTTGCCAGATAAAAGGGTAAAAAAGCAATTATCCGAATAACTATACTTTGGTCAGGACAGCAACAGATTGCCTGACCAACAACGCTGAAGACGATGACGAAGACGATGACGAAGACTTGTGTAGCTCCACAGGTTCCACTCCAACAACAACCCTGAGTCCTGTCCGGGGTCCCCCTTTTATCCCCTAGTTCAGACTCGCTCCACCCTCGGCCACGCCCCCCTTCTAGAACATACTAGAAGGTCCCCGGGCTTCATCTCAAGTGCCCCCTCTGTCACATTATCCCCACATCCTTTCCTCCTGCCTATTCCATGACGTGCTGGCCGACAGGGCTGCTCCAGCAGCAGATCCCCTTCTTACCAGCAACCAGCGCTACATGCCAGTGACCCATTCCATCTCACTACACATGTATCGAGCCAGGAGATGGTGGTACAGATGTTTATTCTTCAATCTATCTGTGTGGAGCTTTAAGTGTTATCCTCTGCATATATATTGGTTTCCTACGGGTGCTTCATTTCCCCTCACATGCCACACACGAATCCATGGAATTGGTCAAACATCACCAATGTAGGATCCTCCTGAAAATTACTGCTAAGACTCCATGATGCTTTTATAGTTAAATAATGGACATTATTAGTATTTCATACGAAATACCGTGTCAATTTACGTTGATTTGTTTATTGTACCGTTAAGGTCAACATAAAGCT